GTCAATTATCCGATTCTGCATGTGATTTCATCAACTAATTGAAAATGCATTTGACTTAAAGCACTTTAAAGTTAGTCGTTTGATTACGCGTTCGTTCAGCACTTCACAGATGCTTTTTCATAATTAAGAAAAACATAAATTAAAATTTTAAAATTAAATGCTCCACCTAAAGAGATTCGAACATGCGACATTCTTGGCCGCGACCAAGTGTAAGAAATATCTTTGCACGCTCAGCTACAGCCAGACATGTAAATGTGCTTTCAAATGTTCAGTTTGAATTGTGTGCAAGCAGAAAGCCGATTTTTTTGAAATTGCCTTGCAAATATACTTTCTGTGGTGCGGTCTAATGTGAATATGTATGTACTTATATACACATATAGCTGGACTATCTAAGCTATAAATTTCTAAAAATAAAGGTCGACAAGCAAGCGTCAGAAGCGTGCATATCGTGATGGCTGGGAGCTCTACATGGAAATTTTTGGATCCGGACAGTTCGGATCTTCGAATATTTGATTAACAAAATGAACGGATATAGACCGCATATATGGATTTCCAAATGAACGGATATTAACCGGTTATCCGAAAATAACAATAAATTCTTGTTTATTAATCTAGTATTCTATTATGTATTTTGCAACTTCGTTCAAACACTGTTTAGAATATCCGTATATCTGGATAGAAAAACAGAAGGGATATTAACCAGATTTTATCCGAACAAAAGAATATCGGAACGCTTAAAATAAAATGATATTCGAAATATATAATTGCCGCCGTTAATGTGGCACTTCTCTCGTTCAACGATGTATGCTGGTACAACAACAACAAGCGCGTGCAGTACTCATAAGTTAGCATGTGGGCACAAAATCAATCAACACCTTACAATTTATAGTACAAATTTGTTAATAAGTGAAAAGCCATTTTTTTACTTAAGCACAGATATATTCAGCATTTTTACGAGTACCTCTCACTGGCATCAAATACATACAAAATTATATTTATGTATATGTGTGTGTACATACATATGTATGTCCACTCGTTAATATTTGCGGCAATTACTTTAAACATTTTTTATTTTCCACCAAATTTGTAAGCAGCTGAAGCAGACAGCGTGGGATTGTCAATGGCTGGTGAATGAATCAAGCCACAAGTGGGTATTTCCCAAAATGAGTGAAAATCATAAAACCAAGCGTGGCGAGCAAGTAAGAAAAAGTTTTCGAATACATATTGTGAATCGATTTCGAAAGACTTTCTTTAATGTATGTATTTATCTTTTGGTATGAATGTTTGCATGTACGTTTGTGCATATGTATGTACACATATTGACCATCTACAAATATTAAGTTTTTTTATTTTTTATTTTTTATTTTTATTTTTTGTGAAAACTTTTACTTTCGCACTTTTCACCTAATGAAAGCATACTGCTGTTAACAGCTTGAAAATAAATATCGTTTAGTTCAACTGTGCACCATACCATACCCCGCAATGTAGTTTGGATTTTCCCAATAACGAACTAAATGATAATATATTAAATTTATTTTAACTAAAAATAAAGAAAATTAAAATTATACATTAAATCACTTATTCATATGTAAGTAAGTAAATGTTACCGTTTATCAACCCTAAATATACATACATCGCGCCTCGTCCAATCGATGACGCCAGTTTTCATTTTTAAATATATTTTCAATATATTTTACAATTAAAAACACACTAAAAAAAGGTCGGTTTTATTTTTTAAAAGGCTAACTTTCCACCTCACTGCCAGTGGAATAGCTTCAAATGCATCATGTGTACTTCCAGGGTTACCTAGTTTATTTCATTTAAAAAATTGTGGCAAAAAAATCGGATGAGATCTTTACGATTTCTTTAACATTTCTCTGCAATTTCGAATACTCTAAAAACATGGTTTGCAGGGTATGCACATAAAGTGATTCAAACAAATTACCACGTGTTGATTTTTTTTAAATATTCGTAATGTTTTTCGAGCTCATTTTTTTGTTACTTTTCTAGAAAAATACCATGCAAGCTTTACTTAACCAAAACCATATAAATCACAACACAAACTTTATACAAAATTACGGAAAATTCAACAAGTTTTCAGTCAAATTTCTGCTTAATTAATCTGAATCTTTAGAATATTTTTGGGTATGCAGTCTTATAGCCTACACAATTTTAGTCCATTGAAGTGCAAGTTTCAAATGGCCAAAAAATCCCGTTAATTTTTGAGAATTTTTTTTCGGTGACGGATTTTTGGAATATTTTTTTCATATAAGCACGAGTTGCTTATGAAATAAAATGCGGGAGACCGTTAGCAACAATTTCAAAAAATCAACGCCAGTTTTGATAAATTGCATATGTTATATAAAAAAAAAAAAACAATCCGAAAAAAAATCTCAAAAAACAACCCGATTTTTTAGCCAGTAGAAACTTGCACATACAACTGCATACCCAACAATTTTCTAAAGAATTGAATTAAAAAGTTTAAATTTTGATGAAAATTTGTTGAATTTTCCTTAAATTTTGTTTAAAGTTTAAATCTGTGTTTTATATGTTTTTGAGTAAAGCTTGGACGGTATTTTTAAAGAAAAATAACAAAAATTAAATTTTAAAAATTTAGCTCGAAGAACCTTACGAATATTTAAAAAAAATCAAAACGTGGTCAATTGTTTGAGTCACTGTATATTAAATTTTGAGTAATTGCTAAAAATAGCCGCTTTCTATCCAGCTTTACATCACCTCTGCTGAGCGATTTTACTTTGCTGGTAGTAATCATGTCAGTACATACAAACGTATGTACAACATACATACATATCTGCATATGCTGCAGAGTCAATACCCAGCTAAGAGCAAACTTCTCATATCCGGTTTTGAATGAGGGCCAGTTAAGAGTGTGCTAAATTGTTGCATGCAACCGGAATGATGAAGAATTGCAAGTAGTTGCAATTAAATGAAGAAGCAACAACACAGACTAGAAAAGAAATTTACAGAAGTCGAAAAATAATTTGAAAGCAACTTGAATGAATGTGCATGCATATTCGAATAAATGTATTTATCTACATATATAAATACATACATATACATATATGTAATTATGTACATACATACGTATATATATATTGGAAGAAAAAGTAACCTCGCGCTGATAAACAGAGATAAACAGCCAAATGCCATGCACCGAACATAAGGAGAGGTAGATAAGTAAGAGGGCATAACAACAGTAAGACCAGAAGTAAATAACCATACTGCGGCAACACGAAAGTCGATGAAACGTTCAATGAAGTTGCTAATGATGTTTTGTTGCTGCAACATAATTATCGAGATGGTGCTTCTTGCTCAAGGGAATTTAAAATGATCTTGCAGAAATGTTATACGAGCAACTACGAGCAATCGCAGAACGGAATGAGGAAAAGAGAGTTTTGCTAAAAAAAATATTTAACAACAAAACTAAAAAACACTAACTGCTCGGATGGAATGCGTGTGCGGTATGTTATAGGTAACATGACAGGGAAATGTATCATTACAGCGATATGTCAGCTTTGGAAGGCGAATTATGGGATGACTTGGACATATCGTCGATGTGTTTGCAAAAACCACCCATCGATCAATTGCAAAACCGCCTATCTCACGGCACTCAAATTTTACCGAAGAGCGAATATACGGGGTTTCCTTGAAGGCATTGCCTTGATAGGCGGTATTTTTTCTGTAACTAAAAGATTTTTTAGAACTTTTTGTTTATTGTTGCCGCCACAAAGCAACTGCACTGCCAAGTGCGGTTTCTATACCTTCATCATTACTACAGGGTGGGCCAAATAAGACATTCTCATAGTCGGCAAGAATTTATTGTTCATAGACTATAATAAATAAATAAATTACCAATGTTAAACACGTATAACTTCTCTATTTTTTAATATTATTGTTATTTTCTTTCTGCCACGCAAATTATTTTTTTTAGGTAATATTCTGTTGTCGGATGAAGCGCATTCCCAAGCAAATCTGTAGATTATGGGGCTTTGAAAATCCAAGGGCAACACACCAGCACCAGTTACACCCATCCAGATGCACTTTTTGGTGCGGTGTTATGGCCGAAATAGTTATTTCTTCGAGAATGAGGATGAAACGCCAGAAACAATTTCTGGGGCTTCTTACAGAACAACGATTGACAACTTTTTACGGCTAACGGCAGAGCAGCATCTTTATTTATGATTCCAGCAAGGTGGAGCGACTGCGCACACTGCTAGGCAAACTATGGACCTACTGCGTGAAATTGGCAGGTCTTATTTGCACCGCCCTATACTTATATGTGTAAAAATACCAGTAAATTTTTTATTTCTAACAAAACTAACGGTTTAAATAAGCCATAAGAGTATTTGACGCGATTTCGAAATTATATGAGAATCATTAGCACTGTTAAAAGGGCTTCGATGACTGATTTACTGTCCGTGCATATGATGAAATTTCCTTCGTTTTTAGAGGCGAAACATACAGCTTCTAGCAATTGTAAATGCCAAGCAGTACCTACGCGGGAGAAGCATCCACGAACAGCCGGTGTCATATCTGGAACCGTCTGTGAAAATAAGCTCCCAGGTCATTAAGAGTATAGAACTGGGCAAATACCCTTGCCGTAGAGTTTTTGCTTTAGTGGGCATGGGAGTAGATATAATATCCAATTCTTTGATGTAGCTTAATATGAGAAATAAAGCTGATTGCTTGCTTCATCGGTTTTTTTGTTGAAAACAAGATTCGACGCGAGAGAATAGTCTCATTTCAACAGTGAACAATCTTTGGGATGAGCATCCTTGTGTTGTGCTTTACCCCATGGTTATGGTTATTCTGACTGCTGCATGGTAAGTTGTTTCTAGCAATTTAAGATGCTTTTCGCCAAAGCAATTTTCAAAATTTTCACGTTACCATCAAAAACCTATTTACATCAAAATTGCAGATATAAGCCCTCGATATATTAATTTGGATTAAAAAACTTGCTTTTAATTACAACTACCTACCTTTGGTTTGTTCAGCCACTTTCGAAACGTATCCATTTTATGCCTTGCTTGGGGCCTTCGATGTAGACTTTCTGAAAGGCCGATACAGTTGTTGCAATGCTTCGGTCACCAGCAATATACTACTATAACACTTAGATACACTATCTATCTATACTTTGATTAAAACTTTTTTATTTTATTCCTCGTAATCTTGCCTTTCGTCAACAATTTTGTTAGTTTTACTTATATGCACATTTGCATGCTGGACTTTTTGTTATTGTGTAAAAAGGCGTCGTCCTTCGGCCAAGCGCAGCACAGATGTACGTTTTGCACTTGCACAGATGGCCAAAATGCAACAACAAAATATTATATGTATATATATTCGAAGGCTGCGAAGGAGCCTGTACAAAACGTTAAATACCGCCCGGAATGAAAGTCCACAAATATGTATACGAGAAATGCACACGTACGCAACGAGTTGTAGGCATGCACCCACACAGATTAGGGAACAAGAGCAAAACAAAGAAACACTACGAGTCAGCAATGACGCAATGGAGCGTAGATAGTAAAATGCAGAGATTTTTTTAAGCTCTGAAAATGTGTTACACTGAACACTTGCTCCACGGGCTACAGATAGTATCAATGGCGTTGCACTAAAGCTTTATAATCGCTTCAACTGCTCCAATGGCCTTTATTTAATTACGCGCTGCACTCCAGACGCCCAAAGCACACACTTTCGTTCGTTTTTCTTGCTACAACTTTACTTCTTCACTTGTCGTGAAGTTACCGCCCTAGCACACATAGCACTTCAAATAAATTTTACAATTGCATTTTTACGCCAAACAACTTTTTTGATAAATATTTGTAATTCTTTATCTGCATGGAAACTTTTGCAATATGCTTGCATGGAAATTTTCACGTCACTTTTTTTGCTTTGCTCACATCACACGAAAAATCATCACATGTTCGCAGTAGCCCCACGAGGTGATTTTTCCACTGGAATAGACAGGCGCGTTTGTAATTTTAAACTTAAATTGTTCGGTCAATTAAAATTAAAATAAAAAAGATAACTCCACAATTTACTTGTAAAAAAATGAATTGCACTCTGACTTATTAGTGGATCCACACTTGGCCACAACAAAATTACGATTGACGAAAAGTTGAAGATTGTCGCCATCATGCTTGAATTAAATATGATTGAGCAGCGGCGAGTGGACGTTTTTTTTAACGCCGTTATTTAAAAAGACTGATTTAAGCATACTTTGCATAGAAACTTTTCGCTTGCGTTCATCGTCAGCTATAGGATATAAATAAAATTATGTGAAATATTTTTCTTTTTTTAACAAATGCTGTAAAAAAGCTAATTTTTGATGAAATTATTGATACGAAATATTAATTTAACATATCAAATTACTCGATAGTTTTCAAACGATAGAGTATTCCAACGCAAATTTATACAAGGTGGTGTTGATGGCGAATTTAGATTTTCGCCGCTGTACTTTCTAATGTCAAAATCAAGGCGAATTTGTTTGTTGTAAACAAGGCGAATTCATTTTAGAACAAACACATCATTTTGACATTAAGACGTACCTCGGCGAAAATCTAAATTCGCAATCAACACCACCTTGTATAAATTCGCCTTGGTCAAAATGATGTGTTTACAACAAACACGTCATTTTGACATTAGGATGTACCGCGGCGAAAATCTAAATTCGCCAGTACACCACCTTGTATAAATTCGCTTTGATTTTGACATTCAGTAGTACCGCGGCGAAAACCTAAATTCGCCAGTAACACCACCCAGGCGAATTTATACAAGGTGGTGTTTCTGGAGAATTTAGATTTTCGCCCGCGGTACTTCTTAATGTCAAAATTACGAATTTGTTGTAAACAAGGCGGATTCATATCACAACAGACACCTTATTTTGACATTAAGAAGTACCGCGGCGAAATCAAATTCGCCAGTAGCACCACCTTGTATAAATTCGCCTTGATTTTGACATTCAGTAGTACCGCGGCGAAAACCTAAATTCGCCAGTAACACCACCCAGGCGAATTTATACAAGGTGGTGTTTCTGGAGAATTTAGATTTTCGCCGCGGTACTTCTTAATGTCACAATGACGTATTTGTTGTAAACAAGGCGAATTCATGTTACAACAAACACATCATTTTGACATTGAGAAGTACGGCGGTGAAAATCCAAATTCGCTATTAACACCACCTTGCATAAATTCGCCTTGAAGGTGGTGTTATCGGATCCGCTCAAGGCAGATTTATATAAGATGGTGTTAGTGGCGAACTTAGATTACAACAACGACAACCACATGTATTTTGAATTGCGGGTGTTATGTCAAATCTCAATTCGCCCCATAGTTTACATGTATTTTCTTTTTGCTTTTGATGGGTGTGCTGTCAAATTGGTAAAAGCAAAAACAAAATATATGTAAGGCGAAGAAATCAGCTGATTTTACAACACCACCTTGTATATATTCGCCTTGGAACCGCTGATTTCACGTCGAATTTGTACCTGCTGTCAAAATGATGTGTTTGTTGTAATGCTGCTTTGATCGAGGCGAATTAACACAAGGTGGTGTTGATGGCGAATTAAATTTTCGCCATTTAAATTTCATTTCATTTCTCCATGATGTAAGTCGAAAAAATCAGCTGATTTTACAACACCACCTTGTATAAATTCGCCTTGCACACACTCTTACAGATTTTGACAGTTTATGCCGCCACATGCAAATTTTTGTTTTTGTACTCCTTATAATAATTCGCCTTGGAAATATTACTATTTTTCAAGTGTCATTGTGGCACTATGTGTCAAATTTAAAATTAAATACCATTAGAAGCAAGGCGAATTTATATAAGGTGGTGTTACTAGCTCAGCTGATTTTGTGTGTGTTTCGCCGCACGGCTTCTGATATCAAATTGAAAAATTTTGTTTGAATTTCTACACACTCTTACAGATTTTGACAGCTTATGCCGCCAAAGCAAAAACAAAATACATGTAAATTTTTGTTTTTGTACTCCTGCTATCACCTTATATTAATTCGCCTTGATTAGAAGTAAAATAGAGCCAAAAAAATGGATGGTTCGAGCGCAGTTGACAGCCCTTTTTGATGCAGAAATGTTGCAGAGCATCTAATCTATATTCAACATTCGGTGTTGAATTTTCTACATATATTTATTGAATTTCATTTGCATACTTCTACATTTCGTTTGATACCGTAAAGGATTTTCTGCTAAGAAATACTCGCGACATAGTAGCAACAATATTTAATGTTCAGCATGTACCCTGTCCTTGTTGTCTCTTTGTTCCTCAGCATCATGTGGCCAGAATGTTGGACGATTAATGGGATCCAAAGCCTGATCAGGGAATGAATCACGGTAGTCTTCCATGGTCATTTGATCATATGGCAGCAGTGATTTCAAGTGGTCAATACTCTTCTGATAGTCAGCAATGCGGGTTTCAGAGCTCTTTTTGAAGTTATCAATTTCACTCTTGGTTTCCTTGATTTGAGCTTCCACTTGTGGGGTTACAGTATCAGCTGGGTATGGCACTTTCAATGCATCGTATTGTTTTTGGAAGGAATCAACCATACCAGCAATGGGAATCAATTGCTTGTAGTGTGCCCAATTGATCTGTGGTGGGTTTTCAGGGTTGGCCAAAACACTGCGCAAGTAAGCGTCAGATTTGGTTTTAAAAGCAGCAAAGTTGGCCTTTTGATTGGCAGGAACACGCTCAGCCAGAGAGGCCCAGTTAATAGAACTCTGTGCAATACGACGTGAAGCCATTTCAACAGCAGCAAAGGATGATTTTCAGAATAGAATCTGCAAATAAAACGAAGTTACGTCAGTGGGTTAAAGACAAAACTCGTTTTGCTTATGAAAATTAAAAACACTGTGCTATTTCCGGCAGAACGTGGGTTATAGATCCTTCATTAAATATATCAACTTCGTGGCTGGATACCGAATTATGTAATCCAGAGCATACACAGTGTTAGGTGAAAAACAATTTAGTTTGGTTTAGAATTAATATTTTTCAGAACACTCAAGTTGTAATAAGAGTGAAAGCGCGTAAATAATGTATTTTACCTTTTTTACCCTGAAAATTGCAAATTTATAAAATAAGTTTTCACAGATTTTTCGCACTCACCGAATTGACAGCTCGATCAAATGACAACGAATGCCAAATGTCAACATCAGCGAATGAAAAAAACAACGAACACAAATGTCAATGGTTCCAGTGTTGTAAACACTATTTATTAAGACATTTTGGACGCTTTGCAAAAATAAATACGTATATCATTAGGGGTATTCTCCAAATCTTGCAAAGCCATTGCACGTAGCACGGATTGCATGGATTGCATAACTTGCAAACACACAACAACAAAATACATGGGAAACGACATTTCCTATCGCTGCAAAATATGCAACGTCGAAACCCATGTATATATTTTGCAAAATAGCATAGCAAGATATATGCGACCCTGTGCTAGTTGTTTTGTTGTTGGAATTGCTACATATTTCTCTCATTCCTCTCATCTCGCTCACTTCATTTTTTTCTGCTGTCTCTTGTTATTGTATTTGATACATAATTTCGCTGCTTGCTACCCATGCATTCTACCACTTTGCAATGGGGTGCTCTCGTACTCTTCGAAATTTGGGATAGTATTTTTGCATTTCGTGCAATACGTGCATCGTGCAATACTTCGAGAATACCCCTATTATATCAACCTTCAAGTAAACGTAGTATTCTACATATAAACAGTTTCAATCATTTCCTAATTAAATAACTTCCACCTTTTTGCTACATATTGGAGCCGTTTTATTTTATAAACTACCATCACTAGTTCGTTGGTTTTGCACTGTCAAATTGGGCGAGTAACAATCAGCTGTTTATCGAACGATAGGCCAACATTTCCAAATTAATTTTTTTTAAGATTATTCATATTGCAATCAGATTAGATAATAAATAAAATGCTTCTAAAGCAAATACTTATACCCGGTCAATATCAGGTGCGACATATTTCATCTGCGACAGCAGCTGTAACACGTTTACATCGCTCGGTATATCGCCGCATGTACCCTACGGTGGTGGTGCAGCCTGATGGTTCCACAATCAACATACGTTATCAGGAGCCAAGGAAAATCATTAAGGTCAGAATTCACAAGAAAAACAAACTTTATACTATTCCGTTTTTGAATCAAAATCAATTTAGTAATTATTTCAATTATCATGCAGTTGCCACTGGATCTAAGCACATTGAGTGAGGCAGAGCGCAAAGCACGCTTGGAAGCACGAAAACCGCGTAAAAAAGTAAAGATTCAAGATGAAGTTGAGGACACATTCAATGCGAAAAAATACATGAAATATATTAAGAAAAAATAAAGTTCATAGGCCAAGTAGGACATCTAAAACATAATTTTATGAAAAATTGAGAAAACTATTGTGAATAGTTTTAGTGAAGTACACTTCAGCGGAACTTGTCCAAAATCCTTAAAAAAAGTCGACAGGGGTATCAATCGACGAATTTTAATAATAAGCTTGTTCCAGGTACTTCCCGATTTGCAGGAATTTGAACGATTTTACAAAAAGCCGTAAGACACTTTGCGACCAAGTCCTTTCTACATTGGTAAACTTATCGCAGTACCAGTTACAAATATAACGTCGCGTTCCTGCGTGATCTTATATGTTTGGTTCATGGGGATTTCCAAAAAAGATTGCAGGAGCAGTTAAGGTGCGGTTAAAGGTGGCAATGCAAGCAATTTTTCTACGCATTTCACTGGCAAAATACGAAATCGAAAGTCTACTTTCCCGTGTAAACAGTCAGTTTTGGAGAAATCACTTTCGGCAATAAAAGTTGCAAGGTGTAAGTAGCTGTTAGACGTGGCAAGTGCAAGTCATTTTCAAAAGTCTGTCAAACTCAATAATTTTCAAAGGAGATTGCAGGAGCAGTGTAAAATGACTTTCGAAAGCACTTCTTATTTTTGAAATTCAAACTTTCCGAAACTTCTTTTCGTTGTTGTTGTTGTTGTAGCAGCATACAAATTCCTCAAAGGCTTTTTGGGGAGTGTTGCTGGAGTGACAGATATAAATCTGGGTCGTTCCGGTTACGTAGACCCGACTGTCGGGGGAGCGAAACTTTTCGTCTGTTTACACGGTGGATGCAGACAGTAGAATAAATTAATTACACATATTTTTCATAGTTTATTCAGCATTTTTATAATTTTATACAAATTCGCGAAAAAAAGTGTCACACGGCAACACTTGATTGGTCTGTCAGTTGCGAAACAGCAATCTAAAAGCAAGTTGTGAAACAGATAAATTGTGTTGGCAAGTTTTGTTGTAAAACGTTGTTGTTGCATTAGTGAGTGTTGTATATTATTTATTCTACAATAGAGTAAATTGTACTTCATCTTGAGCGTTTATTTAAAAATCCAGCGATACGAACCGAGAGGGTTTTGGGAAAATCCGTTATTTGTAGAGCTGTAAAAGTATCGAAAATTTCGATAACCGTATGTATTCGTTACTATTTCAATCAACACCTGTATCTTGCGTATCGTTTCTTTACACGTTACTTTTAAGTATGCATGTTTAGTGAAAAAGTGTGCATGTATTGCTATTGTCATGAGTCATGACAGTATTGTCCGGTGTAAACCCTGAATTAGTATCGATATGAACAATGTTACAATGTTTCTTTCCCGCACAATATGTTGGTTGGATCGATTCTTGTTGATGGTGCGTATACGGAACATGCGAGTAACGAGATTATTATGTGAGTAACGATTCGGTACTTCGAGGGTGTACCCGTAACTCAGTAACGAATACATACGGTTTGCTACAGCTTTAGTTATTTGCTGTCTCTATTAAGCTACCTTTACATGAGGCGATTTTCCAGGCGATTCAACATCGCTCTGGAAAAATCGCTCATGTAAATAGTTATTCAAAAATCGCATGCCTCAAAGTAGACATTATCGGCAGTCAAAAAATCGCCTCATGTAAAAGCAGCTTTAGCGATTGTTTATCTGCTGCGACATTCTCCTGCGATGAATCGCTTGAGGAGACCGCTCATCGCAATCGCAGGAAATATCGCAGATGATGAACTGTCAAATAGTTAGTTTCACAGCTTGTTTTACATAGAATTTTTGCAACGTTGTGTTTTTCTCTAAAATATATGTTAAAAACAACGTGGAGTAAGCTATTTTTGCGAATATAGTTGTTTTCGTCATTTGGAATGTACTCGTAAGCACTTTTTGAAATTAAATCTTCTGCGATGAAATGTCCAAGTACAAAAATTTCTCTGCGATGAGCATTCGCTTGCGATGAAACTGGCAGATCTCCTGCGATGGCTGTACGCTAATGGAGACAGCAAGTCAACTAGCCAGGGATAATCGTAAGTGAATGTTCAGACACGGAAACTTTTGTTGCGGCAACTCGAAGCTTGTTGTGGAGCGAGCGACGAGGAAAAGGGACGGGTACCGAGTTTCTCGTACTCGGGCAACACGCTCTGAAAAAGTATGCGTTTTTGACATCCGCCTAAGAATGAAACAAAGAAAACGAAAAAAGCGCGGTGATTGGGTGCGGATTAAATTGGTATTTAATATAAAATATACAAAGGAAACTTAATGACAATTAGCAAAAAAGATCATAAAATGTGGTTTTCAAGATTGAAAGTGTTTTATAAACGCATATCATTACCATAGGTCGATTTTTCAATGCCAGCGTTCTCGCCGCAGACGTGCACCCACTTTTTACGAAAAATGTAGGCCTTTTACCAGACCAAACAAACGACAAACTTTTTCTAATCACAAAGCACTTCATTTTATAGCTTAGTATCCAGCTCTTAAGAAAACGGTCAAGAAAAAATTGCCATTATTTCGCGTGTGTGTCCAAAGAATTTTGACATTTTTTATACCTCACAGCCTGTTGCCTCACTCTTTCCTCAGAAAAATAAAGGAACGGGCATATATTTCTGTTGCAAACCTGGGTTGCCTTGTGCTCTTTTTTCACAAAAAACTTTAGAAAACCGTAGTAGAAAGCGTACTAAATTTCTGAAGAACTGCGTACTGCCTTAAGGAAATTTGACTCAAGAAAATTTCTTAGCCATTTCTTGTACGTCATTTTATATGGAGTTTTTGCTTTTCTTAAGAGCTGGATACTAAGCTTATATCATAAATTTTGCCATTTTTCATCCAATTAAAAAAAGTACTAGAGCAAAGAGAAGGAACGCGCCTGTTACTCACTTTCGCTGCAATTATAACGAGTTGTCTCTTCCTTCCTGTTTTCTACGCTCTTTGCTACAAGTTAAGTTGTAAAAAAGTGTTGTAATTGCTTTAACAAGTATTGTTAATAGTTGTTATTGTCTGAACAAGTATTGTAAAGTGTTTGTTGTACAATAAAGATAATTATACTGCAATTTGGTAATCTCAAGCTTTTATTTAACAATCCAATGATACGAGCCAGTTGGTGAATCCGTCAACTAAACAAGGACAATCGTATAACTTAAAATTGCAACCCTGAGGACTGAAATCAGTTGGCAACGCGAACGCCACTCAACTGAATTGATAGTTGGTAACGCAGTTACGAGTTGTTCCAGTTTCTTCTTTCAGTCCGTTTTTTTCATTCGTGCAGAAAAGTCGAGGAAGGTTGTCAGTATTTGCCAAAAATAACAACACATCCAATATAAACAAATATTGAAAAACGAGTGAAAAATAAACATATTTAATGTGAATTACATGAAGTGCAGTTCAAAAATAAACAAAGTATATACTTTTCATACAGTAAAATAAATCTACAGCAAGAGTATAAAGCAAAAAGATTGCACAAAAAAATGCAAGACACAAATACAAGTAAAGTCAAAAAGTGATGTGAAGCAACCATAAAGAAAATTACGATTAAAAATTGAGGAAAAGAAAATTCCCAGACGACTGCTACCAATTGGAGTGCAATGGATTTTGCAACAAAAGTAATTACACATTTAAATAATTAATATATCGTAGTTTAGTCTGTTTTAAATACTATGTATTTGTTTTCCCATTCCCGTGTTTGCTTTATTCTACTCTGCCACCTTTACCAATTTTTCTCGGGGGGGGAAAATTCGACGTCGGAATTTGCGGCGGCGTCTGAGGCGCTGCAGCTTTGCTGCTGTAGCAGTTTCTTTTCCCTGGTGCTTTCCTTTGCATTTTCTTATATTTTCTTCGCTTCGATTGTATGTACAAATTTTCATCGACACGGATCGTTTGTCGTAGTGTTGTATTTCTGACTGCTTTAGAAAAGTTAACAGCGAGATGTGAAAGAAAACTGGCGGTAGCTTTGGTCCCGATGTGCTTGGTTGGATTCTGATTGGATTGGATTCTGAACGGATTCGGGGAACTGTGTGGTTGTAAGTAATCTATTTGCTCGTCTTCTACCAATGATTGGATCTGTGAAGACTTAAATTCTAGGCAAATATACATACTCGCACTTCTGCATAGCAATTTCGATTACAACCATTGATTATGAATCTTTTCCGGCAAACTGCAACCATACACACTTGGTAGCGCATCGGACTTCTTTCTGCTCGGTCTGGCCAGCTGGGCCATCGTACCAGCTGCATTTTTGGTATCCGCTTTGTTGCATGCGCTTTTTACAATGCTTTTTTCTATTCGCCCTTTCTCCACCTTTTCACATTGTGTTATAAATTTACACATATATACATACATAAATTGTGTATTATTAATTTACATATATGTATGTATTTTACAATATCCAAATGCATTGAATTTATAGGAGTGGTGGGCAGACTTTAATATTCAGTCTTTTCTACTGGTATCACGACACTTCGTTCCGGTCCTAGTAGCTCGTGTTTATACTTTGCTTCCGTATATTATGCCAATGTTTTGCTGAACTCCTTTTTATGTTTATATAAAAAAGTACACTCTTATTGGCTAATGAAAGCTTAAGAATAAAGAGCAAATGTGCCTTAATGCATCTTCATTTGTCAGCTCAGATATGCCGTATTTTTTCTTTTTCAAAACTATCAGGAAAGAAGATCGGGGCACTGCCCAACCGAACTAGACTTGATGACAGTGTAAATATCTTTTCTTCTGATCACTTTCTGTTGGACCGAAGCGGTGACGGCGCTTTTTAGTCTGCAGTTTACCAGCTTCGGTTGGTAAAGCCAACCCTCTA